AGGCAGGAGGATCAATGAGAGTTCAAGGTAAGCCTGGGGCTACATAGTGTGTTCAAGGCCAGTGTAAACTACACAGTGAGACCCTGTCTCAAAACCAAAAACAAAAACGTTGATTGGTTCAAACCTATAACTAATCAAAGAATACAAGTTAATTACATTTAATTACTATATACCATCCATATCTCTTAATCTGTTTAATACATTTTATAATTTGTTGGTGAGACTAGGCTTGCTGTCCTGTAGAGAGAGTATCCCACATTAGGAGTTCGATTGTTTCTTTATGGTATTATTTAGGTCTTTTTATTATTTTTTTTTTCTTTTTACTATTTAACACTAAAATTACTTGATACATTTTCTAAAACTCTCCTCTGGGTAGTTTTTCTGACTTCTTTCTTATTGATCACAGAATAAACACTAAAACTTTTTAGCTGGATATTTAAGTCTCACCAGAATTTGTCATCTTTGCCTATTCTCTTCTGTTCTTCCTTGCAAATCTTAGTCAAACAGAAGTAGAAATGGTGGCTAAGAGCATGAACTCTCAGCTGGGTGTGGTGGCAGTTGCTGTAATCCCGTCACTCTGGGAGGGGAACAGGATCAAAGGTTTGAGCCCAGCCTGGGTAGCCTAGCAACTTAGGGACAGCCTGTTTCAAAATAAAAAAAATAAAATAGGACTGAGGATCTAGCTCAGTACAAACCTTCCCCCAGCTCTGGGTTCAATTCCAGAACCAAGAAAAAAAATTACTAAAAAGACATGAACTCTGGAACCAAACCATCTGGATATATGAATCTCAGCTCACTGTGTAATAGCTGTATCTCTGGAAAGTTTACTCATCCCATCCATTAGAAGGGAATGGTAATAGTACCACCTTACAGTATATTGTTGAGGGCGTTTGCTAATATTTGTATAATTTTTAAAACAATACCTGGCATATAAAAGTGCTATGTTTGTTAAATAATTTAAAATTCTAGTCAAAGGCTTTTCCTTCTCTAAGACAAAAGACATCAGACAGTTCTGCTTAGCACGTTTTCTCATGATCTGTTCAAAATGTAATGCTATTTGCCTTGCTTCCTACTTATGGAATTTTTATTAGTACAATATATGTTTGAAACACATAACAGATATACTCATTGTGCCAAATAGGCACATATTCATATTGCATCTTGATCCTTTTTACTTCCCCTTCTCCTCTCTCTCTTGTCTACCTAGAAATTTAACTTCTTAACTAATATTAATTGGGCAGGTAACAGATAGTGAATCATTGAGGATGTAGCAGTAAACAAGGCCAATGTTGGCCTTCAGGGAATTACACCCTAATCCGCGTAGAAGCAGGTACACTGCAGTACAGTGAATGTGGGGAGCAGTGTAAATACTGGCACGGTCTTGTGGAGTCAGGATGCTTTTTGGAAGAATATACATAAGCTGAGACGTCCAGAGAAGAAGGGAATTAGCCTATTGAAACAGGCATCGACTAGAGAAAAGAAATGGGCTTGAGGATGAGAATAAAGTGGAGCTCACTGAGGCAGAGCTGTTAGGGAGAAAGTGATTGAAGTTGGGGATCAGCAGGTAAACATGAAACATGTTACAGAGGGCTTTGAAAAGCATGCAAGGTGGCCTTCTTTCTCAGTTTTCCCTTGCGCTTAGGCATCTGCCCAAACTATCTCTGCTGTTGTTGCCTCTGGAATTTGTGTAGTATTGTGACTACAGTGGAGGGTTTGTACTGGGAGAAGTAGTATTAAGTTTGGGGTGTCTCTGTGGAGATATAGTGATAAAGATGGTGGCAATCAGAATCTAACGTGAATCAAATTTAAAATTTTGGATATTTTCCTCTGGATGAATAGAGACACTGATGATTACTCAGGATGGATTGTCGCAGAAAAGGAAGTTTCTTTTTTTTTTTTTTTTTCTGGTACCCGGAATCGAACTCACAACCTTGCACTTGCCAAGCAGGCACAGTGCTGCTGAGCTAAATCCCCACCCCAAAAGGAAGTTTCTGAAGAGGGAAGTAAATAAAAGAAGGAACAAGCAAGGTTTTGAGTAATTAAGAAATTTTAAAGAGGAGGAGGTAAACCGAGGAACAGGTAGGAGCAGATCATAAAAGGAGGCTAAGTGTTTCAGCTATTTCTGATAAGCAGTGGGAAGTCATTGACGGGTCTGTATGAGAAGTAATTGGACAGGGCTAGGGATATAACTAGCGGCAGAGTGCCTGCCTGGCAAGTGGAAGGTCTTGAGTTCGATTCCCAGTACCCGCTTCCCCCCAAAATTGGATAAGGTTTGCATTTTAGAAGATAAATTTGATCGCTTCTCCGCCTTTTGGCTAAGATCAAGTGTAGAAGATAAATTTGACCTGGGCGTGGTGGCACACACCTGTGATCCCAGCATTTGGGAAACTGAGGCAGGAGGATTGCAGCAAGTTTGAGGCCAGTCCTGGCTATGAAGTGAGCTTAAGACCAGCCTAAAACTACATATCAAGACCCTGTCTCAAAAAGCCCCCAAGAGAATATGATTTTTTTTTTTTAAATCTTTTTGAGATCTCACTGTGCAGCTGGCCTTGAGCTCACTTTGTAGCCCAGGCTGGTCTCGAACTTGCAGTGAAGGATCCTGCCTCAGCTTCCCAAGTGCTGGGATTATAGGCATGCGCCACCACATCCAGTTGAAGAATATAAATTTAGTGAGCTGGATAATTTTGGCAGGGGGAGGGGAGACCAAGTCTAGATTAGGATAATGTTAGAAAGGTTTTACAGTAGTAGCCCATATCAAGGAGATGAACCCCAGCAAGAAGCAATAGGAGGAGGAGAAAGAGAAGAGCACAAACTTGAAACTGTTAGAAACAAAATTGCCTAGACTTGAAAATTTAATATTTAAAAGAGGTGAGGTTAGGCATAGTTAAAGAATTGCTAAAATTCTAGTAAGAGATAGATGAAGAGGAAGGTAATTAGGAATTAGGAAGATAATTAATAAAATATTGAAAAATCAAGCTCAGGGTACCTTAGAGACTTGGAAGTAGGTATGTGCATTGAGTGGTGGCAGGATGTCCAGGTTGGCTATCTGTGGAGCCATTGATACATAGGTGGTATGATCACTGCCATAGAAGTGCATGACTGCTCATTAGCATTCTGTTTTCTGTATGCTGAGCCCTGTCCTAAATGCTTTAGGATTTAGTTTTGGGGTTTTTTTTTTGGTCTTTTTGAGACAGGGTCTTGCTATGCAGTTCAGGCTGACATTGAGCTCACTTTGTAGGTTAGGCTGGCCTCGAACTCGCAATGATCCTCCTGCCTCAGCCTGCCAAGTGCTGGGATTACAGATGTGGGCCACCACGCCCGGCAACTTTGTTTTATTTTAGCTTTTCTACAGTTAATGAGTTTAATGAGTTTGTTTCATTTATAGTGCTACAATGTGAAGGGGAAATCTACTTGAGGGTACCTTGAGCAGAAATTTAACCTGAAGTAGTTGAGGGTTTCAGTGCATTCAGTAAACTGATCCATTAGATCATTTGTCCATCCTCCTTCCCTCCTTCTTTCCATCTATCTACCATATTTCCCAGAAAATAAGCCAGACTGACACATTTAGCATGTTTGTTGCAATACACAATGGCCATGTTGAATTATAAAACTATATAATTAAATATAAATAATGTTATTGACTTTAATACTTAAAATAAGTGATAGTGTAATTATAATTATTTGTTTATAAGTACCAAAGCAGGCATCTTGGGATAAGTGGTAAACACCTGTGTAAGCAGATGAATTCAGGACTTACTGCCAAATGACCAATTGGAGCCCAGACATAATGCACAAATAACATGTGCACTTCATGAATTGATGTGCTTGTGTCTAATACGAACCTTCATAACTGAATAGGTCATGCGTTGTGACAGATGTACTTAATGCACTCATGTAAAACTAAGAAACATTTTGTGAATTTAGGTGCCTGCATTTTCCCTCCCTTTTGTATGCACATCTTTCTTAACTCATCATTTTTGTTGCCACTCCTGTCTTATCAGTCTTCACGTAGCACTTGACTTACTTACTGGAAACTTCGTGCAGCCCAGCCTGCAGGAGGTCGTGGCTTGGGTGAAGAATTCCTGGGATAAAATCACTGGCAGCTATGTCGCCAGTGCACTATGTGCAGGCTGCATGGACAGGAAGCGCTTATTTAAGGGGAGCTCCGTGACTGGACAGGAGAGACTGGGGCCAGTGGTTCTGCAGAAAATGGAGTCCCAAGAAATTCAGGCTGGAATTTTGGATTTGGAGAGTAACAGTGATGTTCCAAAAAAGATAACCTTACTGTATTTTTGAACATGAATAAATGTAGATTTTTACATATGAATAAATGTAGATTGCTGTACATGAAAAAACCAGACATCCTCTGAAAAGAAGCCTATTGCATCCTTTAGAGCAAAAATTAGTATGAAACCCTGTTTTGGCTTGTATCTAGATGTGCCTGCAAAGCCTCATGTGATCATAGGTGGGGCTTTTCAGAGATGGCTGGATCTAGGGTGCATGATGCTGGGATCGAGGATGTGATGCTGAGATTGATTCATGGAGTGATGCTTGGATTAAGAGTGCCCACCCTGACTGTGAGTGCTACCCTCTCAGTAAGAGTGGGTACCCTAGATAAGATATAAGGGGCAGAAAAAGGATCACTGCTGGTTGCTGGTTGCTTCTTTGCTACTTTGCTGCTTTGGTGACCTCTGTTATTCTATCCTGCCTTGGAGCCAGGTCACTATGAACTGAAACTTCTACAAACTGTGAGCTACCATAAACCTTTTCTCCTTTAACTTTGGGTGTTGGGTATTTTGCCTCAGCAACAAGAAAAGTAACTAAGATAGGCCTGGTCTTACTTTTGGGAAAATATGGCATGCAATCAGATTCATCCTTTTACATCTATGAAAAAACAGCACACTGTATTTGAGCAAACTGTAGTGAGAACATTGATTGAGATAAGCTGAACTAAGTATAAAATGACTCATTTGGTTTTTATTGTCTTTTGTTATCTCTAGCTGCATATCCCCACCGTTTGAATCTCTTCTACCTTGCCAATGATGTCATACAGAACTGTAAAAGGAAAAATGCAATCATATTTCGTGAGTCATTTGCTGACGTCCTTCCTGAAGCAGCTGCTCTAGTGAAGTAAGTAAATGGTTATCCCTCTTTCTTTTTTTCTTTCTGAGACAAGGTCTTGCTGTGTAGCCCTAGGTGGCCTCAGAGTTACTATATTTCTTCTGCTTGGGCCTCCCAAACGTTGGGGTGAGAGGTGTGCACCGCTATGCCCGGCACTTTTTTTTAATTAGTTTATCTTTGCATTATGTAACAGTTACTTACATTCATTTTGGGGGAGTTGGAACATATCATATTTCATGATCATTTTACCCTTTACCCTTACCTCTCCCATACACTTCTGTATTTTTCCTCCAGTTGGTGGTATTGGGTATTGAACCCAGGGCCTTTGCACGGAGCTACATATTTTTTGAGACAGGATCTCGCTAAGCAACCAGGCTGGGTTTGAATTTGTGATCCTCCTGTGTCAGCTTCCCTAAGTGCTGGAATTACAGGCCTGCACCACCCCCCATGGGTTTTTGGTTATTTAATTCTGTAGTACTGAGGAGTTGGCTTTAACCCAGGGTCTTGAATGCTAGGCAAGCACTCTACCCCTGAGCTATAGTATCTCTCCAGCTTCCTCTGGTTGGTTGGTTCGTTCATTCATTCATTCATTCATTTATTTCCCATACTGGCAGTTGAATCCAGGGCCTTCACACTGAGCTATGTCCCCAGTCCTTTAGGGACAGTCTTGCTAGGTTGCTGAGGCTGGGCTCAAACTTGTGACCCTCCTGCCATAGCTTCCCAGGATGCTGGGAGTACAATCCTGTGCCACTGTGCCTATTTTTGTGTTTGTTTTGTTTTGTTTTTAACACTTTTTTTTTTTTAACACTTTTCATTTCTTCTGGAGTTTTTCTGAAATCTTGCTCCCCCCTTGAAATCTGTGTTAAAGAATAATGGGAATACTTATACCCAGCTCCATATTGATTTACCCCATTTTGCAGAATTCGTACCCACATTGCACACCGTTAATTACTGTGAAGTGGTGAGAGAAGGAAGTCTACACTCTTTAAGTTTGGGGCAGTATTCCGACCACCTTTTCTCTCCTGAGAAGAGTATACACCACTGCATGAGTAAATTTTGTTTCTTCAGGGAACAGTGCTAGTTGCAAAATAGCAATTACTAAATTTTGACCATGAACACTTGTTCTTTAGTATCTGTTAAGTATTCCCCCAATTTGGGGAAAATAAATAAATAAATAAATAAATAAATATGAAGAAACTTACATTTGATCTAATTTTTGCCTGTATTAATAGTGTTTTTGTGTTGCATCCATATTTTAAGTTGTTTTGTATAGAAGATACACAATTACAAGATAAACATTTATGTGGAACGATTATAATAGTTGAATATTTCCTCCAATTATATAGTTACTAATATTGATTTATCTATTAGTATTAATACATTCAAAACTGAATAACCCTTGTTCTTTACTTTGAATTAACTTGAAATGTTCACTTTGCTATTAAAAGATTAAATTATGGGAGTGGGAGATAAAGCTCAGTGGCACAAGCACCTGCCAGGGAAGCACAAGGTCCTGAGTTCGATTCCCGGTACCAAAAAAAAAAGAGATTAAATTATGGTACTACTTAAATGTACTAGATTTATGCACAAATCAAATACATAAAATAGTAACATCTATGGTTTGAATACTCATTATATACAAATTATAGAGTGCTTTATCATTTAATTCTGAGCCTCATATAATGGGTACAATTGCTATCCTCATTCTGAGTAAGGGAAAACTTACTTAGAGAGGTTACATAAATTGCCTACGGTCTCACAACTGTCTGGGAGTAACTAGCCAGAAATCCACCCAGGCCATGTTCTTTACCACCTAACTGCTAAACTAACTGGGTGTGGGAGTATACCCCTATAATTCCAGCTCTCAAGATGTGACAGGAGTATCATAGGCCAGCCAAGGCAACTTAGTGAGATCCTGACTCAAAATAAAAAATAAAAAGGCTTAGAAATACAACTTAGAGGGGCTGGGAATTTAGCTCAGTGGCACAGCATCTGCCTGGCAAGCGCAAGGTCGTGAGTTCGATTCCCGGGACTGGAAAAAAACCAAAAAAAAAAAAAAGAAACACAGTTTAGTGCTCCTGGGTTCAGTCCCCAATTGTGGGTGGATCATTACAAAAACTACCAGTCTGTGCTGTCACTTTACATATAAACCCAATATAATTTTGAGTAACAAAAGCAGTATGTTCCATGATCTCTTATCTAGAATTTCAGCTGTATCATTGTATTTCTTTAAAACCTCCTTGTGTTTTCTTTTTTTAAGTTTTCTTTTCTATCTTATGTTTTTTAGGAGTTTAGATTTCACAGCTAATTAATGCATTAATATAGCTTTGGACTATGGGGTGTAGCTCTGTGTTAAGAGAACTTGCCTGGAATGTATGCCTAGTTATTGGCTGTGTTGAATCCCCAGCATCACACAAAAATAAATTATATATGGATTATATGGAGTTGTCATCTTCTGATTTTTCATGTATACATATTTTTTAAAAACTCGTTTGTGTTTGGCCAGGCTTGGTGGCATGCCTGTAATCCCAGCACTCAGGAGGCTGAGACAGGAAGATCACCATGAGTTCAAGGCCAACCTGGGCAATTGGGGATTTAGCTCAGTGGCAAAGCGCCTGCCTGGCAAGCGCAAGGTCGTGAGTTCAATTCCTGGTACCGGCAGAAAAAAAAAAAAAAAGAAAGAAAAGAAAAGGCCAACCTGGGCAACATAGTGGCAGGGCTAACCTACATAGCAGGTCCCTGTTTAAAAAAATAGGGGGTTTTGGGGTGGGACACCACCATGACAGCTACTTTGTATTAATCCCACTATTTCACAGAAAAGAGTGGAAAGGACATAAAGTCTGAATGCCAGTCTTTTATTTGTTTGTTTTTTGTTTTGTTTTGTGTTTTTCTGGTACCGGGAATCGAACTCATGACCTCACGCTTGCCAGGCAGGCACTGTGCCGCTGAGCTAAATCCCCAGGCCCTGAATGCCAGTCTTCTAAATTAAAAGTTTAAACTCTGAAATTTTCTTGACCCAGTGAAAGGTATCACCAGAAACCAGTAGATAAGATGTATTATGTCTATGTACCAACTCTCCACAATGAATGTAATCATTATGTACTGCAAATATGTATAACAATTTTTTTTTTAAACAAGAAGTGGAACTATTAAAAAAAAAAAGGAAACCTGTAGTAAACATCAGACTTTATGGTAAAACAAAAGCACTCCAGGAGTAAAGCCCTCTATTGTCATTACTGTTTGTCATTATGTTGGGGATCCTGTTCATTTAGAAATGAATACATTTGGAAAAGAAGAGGTGGAATTGTCATTATTTGTAGGTAGTAGAGTTGACAGTCCTTAGTTATCAATAGTTAAGTATTTCAGGCTTTTTAGTGGCATCTCAGTTACAGACCTGTGCTGCCTTTCTAGCATGAAACCACTGTAGATAAATACAGAAACAGATGAACTGGAGCTGGGTTCCAGCTGTGTTACAAAAGTAGGCAACAGGCCAGACTTAGCCTGAGGTTTGTAATTTGCCAACCATTAGTCTCCATAGAAATCTCAAGCGAATCAACTAAAAAGAAAAAATAAGCCAAACAGCCAAATTCAAGTTGAGCAAAGAAATAATTAGTAGCTTTTCTGTGTATGCCAGCAGTAAGTAATTTAAAAATGTGATTAGGAAAAAAGATTCCTTTTATAAAACAAAAAATAGTCTCCCTTAAATAAAAGAAATTTACCCAAGAATAAATATAAATATGTAAGGCTTTTATAAAGAAAGTGTTAAAAATTTGGAGAATGTTAAGACTTGGTTAAGTGAAGAGAGATACATACTTTTAAAAGAAAAGATTGGTTTTGGTTTTTTTGGTACCAGGAATCAAACCTGGGACCTTGCACTTGCCAGGCAGGCGCTTGTGCTGCTGAGCTATATCTCTGGCCCTAAGATTTGGTGTTATTAAAAGTATTTCCCGGGGCTGGGGATTTAGCTCAGCGGCAAAGTGCCTGCCTGGCAAGCGCAAGGTCGTGAGTTCGGTTCCCGGTACCGGAGGAAAAAAAAAAAAAAAAAAAAGTATTTCCCAATCTGTAACCTGTACATGTCAATCCCAGTCAAATCTCTGTAATTTCATGTGGAGCATAAATATCCAAGATTTTTTTAAAAAGAATAGTAAAGCTAGAATTCCTCTACCAGTTACCAAAATTTCCCTTAAAACAGGAGTAGTATGTATCATGAGTGAGTGTAGATTCTTAGCCATATGAAAGTGAAAATAGACTTGAGCCAGTTCTTGGGCCTGCTGGTGACCGTCAGTACTGTCTGACCCCCCCTTCAGGTTGCTCTAAGGAGTCATTTTTCTCAGATGTTGCCAGTCTGCTGAGGGTTTTTCCTCAGTCTGTATAGAAATCATGAACTGGCACTGTTAACAGCCTTGGGTTGTCAGCTCTTTCAGTGTTAGTGGCTTTCTTTGCTGTTGAGAACAAGCGGCAAGAGCAGACCTTGGGAGCTCTTCTAATCACTGGAAATGCTGTCTGTTTTCTGTCACTTTACATTGTTCTCTGCTGCTCGTCACCTTCAGTGTTACCAGCCCAGGCTGCTGGCTGCTTTTAGTGCTACCAGCTCTTAGCATTCCAGCTCAGCATGCTGTACTTGAGATAGAAATCATGATAGGCAAAGCTGTTCCATCCAGAAGAGGCTTTACTAGGGTGTATGCTGCCGCGTAAGGTAGCCAGTGTTGGGACTGAACCCACTAAGGGTATGGAGAAGTTGTTTATAAAGGAAAAAGAGGCTCATGTATGTGCAGTGTCAGATTTTCTGCTTGGTTGTTGGTAGGAGAAGGGCTCCTGTCAGACATTTTGTTCATTTGTTTATTTGTTTTATTGAGACTGGGTCTCCCTGTGCAGTCCAGGCTGTGTAGTCCAGGTTGGCCTTGGACTCACTATGTAGTTCAGGCTGGGCTCCAACTCACAGTAATCGTCTTGCCTCAGTTTCCCAAGTGCTGGCATTACAGGTGTATATCACTATACCCTACCTTTCA